TTGTATTAAAATATCTCAAATCATGATATGGAATTACCATATAATTCCATATCATGATTTTTGGAGAAGATGGAATCACATCTCATGATATGAAATCATGAGATGGAATCATTATAAAATCGCATGTCCAAACGCTGATTCCATCTCACGATACCATATCGTGACATGGTATCGCATGGCCAAACGCCTACTAACTCAAGTCTCAAATACCAATTCCCAATACTAATTGAGTGTTGGCATCGAGTCCCCATTAGGTATTGGGATGCGGTTTTGAGTCAGGTATAGGAGTTAGGTTTCATGTCGAGAGTCGAGGTTGAGTCCCAGATCAGGTATCGGGTTTTGGTCACGTATCGGCCTTTGGGGTTAGATGTTGATTTGAAAGTCAGGTCCGGGGTCGGGCCTCAATTCGAAAGTTGAGTCCCAATTCAGGTGTTAGGTCCTGGGTCGTGTGTCATGTTTCGGATCAGGTGTTGGGTCAAATGTCAAATCAGTCATCCAAGTCTTGTTCAGATTCGGGTGTCGGGGTCGTGTATAGGTTCGGATGTCGAGATCGGGTCCCATAACTTAAATGTTGGGTCCCGGATCGAGTTTCGAGATAAAATTTTGGATTCGAAGTCGGGGTCGTATCCCGATTTGGGTGTCAAGGTAGGGTCAAGTCCCAGTTCGAATGTTAGGTTTCAGGTTAGGTGTTGGGGTCATGTCCCGATTCAAGTGTCAGGGTTAGATTTTGTATCGGTCGTCGGGATTGTGTTTTGATTTAGGTATAGAGATTGGGTCTCGAGTTGATTATTGGGATTAGTTTCCGTATAAGAAAATATTTTGTATTTATTGGAAAATAAGTTGATTTCTAACTTATTTTCTCATTTTTGGTTGGTGAGAGGAAAATACCCAACTCTCGACCTGAGATCCGACAGTTGAACTAGGACTCGATCCCAACCCCAAGACCCAAACCGAAACACGACCCTAACAACCGATCCAGGATCTGACCCTGAGACCCCACCTAAGACCTGACCCCGACCTAGGACCCGACCTTGACCTCGACATCCAAACCTACACATGAGCCTGATGACCAATCTGGAATCTTGTCCTGACATCCAACATGTGACCTAACCCCGACTCTCGTCCCAAGACTCGATATTCGAATCTAATTACCATAACCCTTACTAGATTTCTAAGTATTTAAAAGATTTTCTATTATATTAGGTGTGGGGGGTTTGACTTGACCCCTACCATGTCTATAATTTCCAACACAAGTTACACAAAAACAGAGGGGGCCATGTACCTAACCTCTGGCAAAAATAGATAGTGGAAATTAGGACATTAAAAAGGAAAGGCAACAAACTTATAACCTTCCACTTAATAAGCAAAATAGAAGATTCAACTAACAAAAAAGTTACTAAGTTATTAGTTTTGGAAAGTTGTCGTCTTTGGACTTGGCCAGAACCCTTGAGTTTTGCATTGAATATCAAAGTGTGTAGAATTTTATTTCTTGCTTGAATTTTTTTATGAGAATACTAATTATTAAAGTTTGGTTTAAGTCTCTTATTTTGCTTATGTATTGAATGATTTTTATTCTTAATAATTGTTCTTTAATTATTCTTGTTCTTAAGGTTTTCAAAGGGAGTAGCTAACCCTATGACTTGCCCAATTCAAATAAAAAGTAATTAAAGTGAAAAAATCATTTAATACATAATCAAAATACATGGATATTTACCCCACTATTTTGGCGCACCCTTATTACATATACTTGGCTTCTTATTTAAAAGACACCACTTTGAAGTTGACTTAGTTGCTCAACAAATGCATGAAAATCTCGACTTGAACTCCCTCCGTCTTGAACCGCCTTTAGGACACCATCATGAAGTTTTCTCATTCGCTCTTTGTGAGGACGAGCCCCATTAATTGAATCACAGAAGATTTGAGTCAACTTTATTGAGTCTGGAACTACTTGACTACCGCCTTCACATGCCTTAATTCCCACTTTTAGTTCGTTAACTAAAAATTCCGCACTTGTAAATTGGTCTGCATCCATAGGCCACGTTAGCATGAGCACATTCGAGGATATGCCTTCTAGTACCGAATTCCATCCACAATGAGTCAGGAAAACGCCCACTGCTCGATGTTTTAGTATTGCAACTTGTGGAGCCCAACCTTTAATTATCAACCCTCTATTCGATACTCGATTTTCGTATTCTTTCGTGATTGCATCCTCCTCATTATCGTCCGTCACGTGTCCTCCTCTCAAGCACCATACGAAATTCACCCCACTACGTTCCAGGGCTGTCGCGAGGGCATCCGTTTGTTGTCGCGTCAACGTGGACCGACTCCCAAAGCACACGTAAACGACTGAGTCATCAACCTTGTCGTCTAACCACGTCATCACTTCGTCATGTGGCATCGCGCTCAACCCGCCACGTCGAGAATAACCCGGGCCTACTACATTTAACAAAGGCCCAACAGCCCAAACCCTATCATGGCCCATTTCTTTCTTTACTTGATCAATATAAAGCCCCTCAATTTCTCTACTAGTGTTAAACAAAGCACCCCAACTTTTATCATTGTCTAACAAACCGTCCCTGAAAAATTCCCAATCTGAATCTCCTTCTTTATACTGACTGCTCAACGTACACACCTGCCGGCGAGGATATTCCGGCGTATTCGGAATGTTGCGGAAAGTAACTAAAGCATTTTCATCGGTTTTTGAGAAGATTTCTTCAACGTTACTCCATGTGTAGCTCATAACTAAGCAAGTAAAAGCTCCAGACGGCCAAAAGGCAATACGTCGAACACCTAGTTGGCGTGCCAGCTGAAAGGTCCAACCAAGGAAGAAATCGGAGATGATGGCTACTGGAGGAGATGGGTGTGTACGGAACCAATCGATGATCGGATCGTGAAGTTTAGAAGTCGCACGAACTTTTTTAGCAAAATTGGATCCAGGAGGGGTTTCGGGAACTGAAAGGATAAGTGTTTGAATGGAATTTGAAGGGTGAATTGCTTGGATTGGTTCGATTAATGGTAGATTGAGAGGTGTGACTAGAATTGTTAGTTTTAGGCCGTGATTTATGAGGTGATTGGCTAGATCAAGGAGGGGGATGATGTGACCGGAAGTAGGGTATGGGAAGAGGAGAACGTGTGCGCCGGCGCCGTTATTCTCGCCGGAAAACTCCATTGATTTAGTTTTGACTGAAGCTCAAGTTAAAGGTTTTGGAAATTGGAGCACTTGGTTTGTACTATGAAATGTTTGGTGCCTTTCGATGTCATGCCTGACGCTTACAAGATGGGAAAAAGTTTGGCATAATTCATAAATATACCTTTTAATAACTTGGGTTCAGCTTGTAACTTTAAACAGACATAACTCTATTATGTGAAAGTTTAAAGGGAATAGATTTCTGAAATTGAAACATTCATTAACAAAATAATTATCGATATATTTTAAAAATAAATGACAAGTAAAAGTGAATTAGAGGAAATATTATTCATTACATTGTTTATTTCAATTTATGTGACACATTTCATTTTCCTACGGTGAATCAAACAATTTAAATTTGATTGAAAATTTGCGCATGAAATTTTCATTATTTTTTTTTGAATTGTCAATTATTGTAACTTAAAATATATTGTATGCAGTTTACCAATATATAACGATTAAAGATAGACTTATTTAAATTTCAAATTTCAAAATATGTCACATAAATTAAGACAAAAAAAATACCTTTTAAAAACATAATACATAAATATGTATTAAAAATAAAATAAAACAAATAAATATGTCATTAAAAATAAAATAAAATAAATAAATGTCATATAATTTGATTTCAACTAACATCTCTAACTTTAACTTAATGCAAAGAGGTTTTCCAAATTAGTTTTCTAAAATATTCTTCCTGACTTTCTGTGGCATCACTCATTGCACACCCAAAATAGATTCCATTTATGCTTACAAAGCAAAAAGTTAGCAATTCAAAACTATATATATAAAATAAAAGATTACTATTTTTTTAACAAATATATTCATATATATGAGGCATAATACATAAACATGATCTTTAACTTGACTTCAACGAATAACTGTCATCCAACTTTGAGTGTACATAAGTAGACACTTGAACTTGTATTAATTTGAACAAATGAACATATTCGTTTTGCATGGCACCCTACATGACAATTTTGTGTCCTACATGTATTATGTCATGTAGGACACGTGTGTCTACTTGTTTAATTTTATACAAGTTTAAGTGTCTACTTATGAACACTTAAAATTGGAGGATATAGTTATCCGCTGAAGCTAGGGATGACAGAATGAGTAATTAATATGGGCATCCACTCATATTTACTCATTTTAAATGGGTTGTGTATCCAACTCATTTAAAAATGGATAAAAACGAATAATACCCATATTACTCATTTAAAAGTGGGTACTTAAATGGATAAAATGGGTAAAAAGATGTCCTTTCACACAAAAAAATTTTGATAAAGGGTGGGATAGTAAGAAAGTCTTTTTTTTAATAAAAAAAAATTCTATAAAAAAATGAAACTTGTTTTTACATCTTTTTTTGGAATAAGGGGGTGGGGGCTGGTA